CGTGGGAGAAGGTATGGAGGAAGGAGAGTTCTCTGAAGCCCGTGAGGATCTGGCTGCTCTTGAGAAGGATTACGAGGAGGTTGGTGTCGATTCTGGAGATGCTGAAGGAGACGAAGAAGATGAAGGCGATGAATATTAAAAGGAAAGATCTTCAATACTAATTAAATTGGGAACTCATTATAATCTGAATATATATATAAGACCAAATAAATAGATGAAGATAAACAATTTTATTGTGTGTTCTTCTTTAGAATATTATTATGTCTTTACACTGGACCAGTTTAAATACGGGAAATATAGGATCTCGACAAAGTAACGGCGATATGAGCAACTCTCCATGTATGATACTAAAGATTTGAAATCGGAGAACGACTTGGAAATCTTTATTAATGRAACAAGCTGAGGGTTACCTGTTAGTTTGTATTTCTGAAGTCTGCAGTAGTATGCAAGATTGTCCTTATGACAACAGTCGTTTCAGAATGATATTGCGGTTTCTAAACTTTATTCAAATTTTTTTTTTGAATTATGCTAGAACTCAGAATTTTTTCTGTCTCAACAATTAGCAGCGGCATAAGTTGGGTTAGGCTTGACGAATTTACGTCCCCTATGATTGGTTAGGTTTAGGGGTGGGTTTGGGGAAAGGTCATTGTTTTCCATTGTTCTACACATGTGCGCCCTCAGATAGGATCACATCTTGCAAATTCGTGAAGGACGACCCTACGTTGCTTGATATACTGCGCAGATCAGCTCGATTAGATATGTTAATTATGTCTGTTTTAGAGAAGGCGACTCGTGACAGTAGCCATCTTAGCACTGATAAATTTGTGGCCCTTCTATGTTTAACGTCTCTTAGTGAGACGGGACCGCCATTTTACGTGGTCACGGTCATTGGACCTAATATTTGTTTGATAGAGTTTTCATTTAATCATCTAGATTCTTCTAGTAAGGCTTAATTCATGGGTTGCAAGCATTCCCAAGAGAGTTAAAAGAAAACATATCATGACGGCCATTGTGGAACCGTTAACAATGGATGTTAATGAGAAATCTTTTGTTAAATGGTACCAGCATGGCCGCGATGACGTAACGTGCAAACGAAGAATAGAATCGAGAAACGAGTTATAAATTTACCAAGAGGGGCAGTTATGTCGAAAGCACACATAGAAATACTGAAACTTCGAGCACGGCTTTGGAATGCAGCTGGTGAGAAAGATTTACAGCATTAATATTTTAATAAAACGCGCTTGGCGAACGGTGTAAAGACTTTTTTGTCCTGGTAAGAACAACTGGTTATCAAAATTATCTTGAATGCGAGGCTAACATTGAATGAAAAAGAAATACTACAAATTCCACCGAGAAAAAGTGTGATTTCTTTTTAATATTCATGTTTGCCTCGGTTCCAATAAAATTTTGTAGGAGGGTCCATTCAACTACCAGAATCCCTTTCGGTATTTTTTTTTGTTTTGTTATGCTAATTGTTTTACTATTGTCTTGCTATTCTCAAAAGATTTTAACACATCTGATTTAAATATAAATAATAAAAGTATTTTGAAAAGGATTGTGCTAGTTTAGGTAGGAAATTAGTTAGTAGGTTAGTTATTGTTATATTTTTGAGAGTTCCATTTTATAATTATGATTATCATTTTTATCTAAGTTGCAGTTGCAGCTAATTGACTTGTTTTTCATTTCCTTTTTACGGCAAAAAATTTCTTCAAATTTTGCAGATGCCAATAACAGCCGACAGCCTTCCCATATAAACCATCAAGAATCTTGTTTACATTATGGCTACGAATCAAAACCACTTCCTACTGATGCAGACGCGGGTTTCTCTCATGAGTATTCACATCACTTTAATGCTGATTGGCTGCGGAGATTTATGATATGACATCACCAACTCGCCGCATTCTGATTGGCCCGGGATAATAACATTACAGGTATCAGAGTGAAGCAAATGAAAGAAAAATTCAGTCCATTGAGGCTTTGGTCGGGAGTAAACGTCGCTTTGATTCCCAAACTGAATTCTTAGTACAAATCAAAGAATATACAACCAATCTTCGATCAAAATGGTAAGTGTAGGAATTTATTCTGTTCAAATTGGCAGACAAACGTGGTGCATTTTTTCATTTGAAATCGTAATTCAGTCAATATTTGTATCGATTGCACTACGGAATTAGTAATGTATACAGCAGCTTGCTTCAGGATATTCGCTTTAAACGTAGTAAAATCCTTTTAATTTCTTTCAGCGTGAATGTATCTCAATCCACGTGGGGCAAGCCGGTGTTCAGATCGGTAATGCTTGTTGGGAGTTGTACTGTCTTGAACACGGTATCCAGCCCGATGGCCAGATGCCCAGCGACAAGACGATCGGCGGTGGTGATGATTCGTTCAATACTTTCTTCAGTGAAACCGGTGCTGGGAAACATGTTCCAAGAGCTGTGTTCGTAGATTTAGAACCCACTGTCGTAGGTAAGAATACAAAACCCTATCTATCGCCAAAAACAGTTGCGATAAATGAATAGTATTGTGTAATCCTATGCATTAATATTCGTCTTGCTAGGAGGGTCGCTTGTTTGAAAGACAGCTAATCAATAGTTTGGTTCAAGAAGTTAAAAATCGACTTATTCAAACAAATAAAGAATTAAAAAAAGTCAAAATCTCTTGACAGTTGACTGCTGAAACTTCGCTTAAATTCTACCATGGAGTTTATTTACCAAAAACAATCTGGTATAAATGAAATCATTTTCAAGATGTTTGTACAAATAAATACCTGTAGCCCAGTACATTAATTTACTCAAAGACTTCATGATATCCCTATTTACTTTCTTTTCATGTTGAAGAGAATTTTGAATCGGTATTTTCCATCACATTATCCAAGATCTATTGACAGGGCGTTAACTTATTTTTTGCTTTCAAAATAAAATTCCATTTGAATATGGAAGATGGCTTTGAAAGACCGGTCAGTCTTAAATTATTGATGTGTTTGAAAACACTGTAGGCGCGTACAAGTCCATTAAACAGGTTGACCCAATGCCGGTTTGTGAACCCGTCTGAAAAATCTCTTAATACAATCAGAGATATCAAATCAAATCTAGCTATTTTCTGATAAATCTATATGGTTAGATTTGCTGAGGACCTTAGTTCGATTTATGATATTTTTGTGGGCCGTCTAGAGCGACGTTTGGGGAAATGGTCGCGTGTCGCCCTCGGCTATGAATCTCATTAGCAAAACACGAGCGACAGCTGTGAACTTCATTTAGATGCAGAATTTAAAAAGCTTGAAATGAAAAACCACAAAACAAGGACCATTCTTACTTAATGGCAATGATTTATTGTAATTTTTAAAGAAACTTTTTTTGTGCGTGTATTTACGGAGTGGAAAATTAGTAGGTCTAATTTTGTTCCCGAGAGTCAAACCTTGCATGATATCTGCCTTTCCCATTATTGTATGTTGCTCAGAATTCAACGCTGTTGAACACCTTGCAGAGCTATTATTATTCTTATATTAATTCTGCTGGTGTTCTTTGTTTTGAGCTGCCAAAACGCTTGAGTTCAATAAAGAAAACAACGCGGTAAGAAGGATTTGTGTGGATTAAGACTGCTTTATGACCTGCCAAAGGTGCTTCGTTAGGTATATGAATTCGCATTCACAGGAACAGGAAAGTCGTTGGTCTTATTTACTCGACATAAAAGATAGATTAAACATGTCAGTGTCATCTTTATTTGAAGATCAATATTTAGATATGTGTTCGTTGTTTTCATTATATTAAGAGAGAGATGAGAGAGTGACAACTGAAAAAAAGAGAAGAATCGAGAAAGAAAATCCTGAAATAAAGCTTCTACAAGTAGACACCCTAGCTAGCCTTTTACGAACAAAGAAAACCGGAAAAGTCCCCAAAATCAAGATAGACATCCAACAATCGCTCCTCGCATGCGGTGCTACCGATGAAGCAGCCAAAGGAAATAAGTCAGTACTGTGTGTCACAGGACACTATGGGGTATTTTTCGGTTTTCTTAAAAAGTCGTATCGAACGATTGCCCCTTAAAAAGTGTACATTGAATACCAATTGACACGGATAATGAGAAGGAAAGAATCCGATTCGAATTTGGCAGGCAACGCTTTAATGTTGTGTACAATATACTAGTTTATTGAGTTTAAGTTTATGTTCAAGTTCAAGTTGAAGTTGAAGTTTTTTAGATTTAGTAAATTACATTTACAAATATATATCACTGACCTGCAAATTGTAACATGGGCGGATTTAGGATTTTGAGTAAGGGGGGTCACAAAGTCATGAAGATCCACGCCTTTTTGGCAATTAACCTATATTTAATGATTATCGATTGCACACCATATATGTGTGAAAAACTTTGTAAGAACTTGCACAAATTAGTAAGTTCAGCAGACTGCAATAGACCGTAGACCTACAAAATCTTTATTTGCACTATAATTTGTACGATTTGATAGTTAACGTTTTCACGGATATATGGTATGCACTATACTAACCAACAAAATCCCTACTAAAAAGGGGTTCCACGAGCACCTTTAACGTAACCTTGCCCTAAATTTGAGTTATAATCTGCATGCCGTGATGAACTTGAATATAATAGCCACTGTTTTTGTTTCGTTGTTTAGATGAGGTACGTAACGGTACATACAGAAATCTCTTCCACCCTGATCAAATGTTGACAGGCAAGGAAGACGCTGCTAACAACTATGCACGTGGTCACTACACTGTAGGAAAAGAAATGATTGATAACGTTTTGGATCGAATTAGAAAACTGGTAAGAATCTTTTATTGCATGATGTGTCTTAAAGATAGTTTAAAGCAGGAGCCCATGACGTAGGCGAAGCCCGGCAATCAGAGGGGAGCCTGACGGATGACATCAGTCGAGTAGCATTAGGGATGTTAAAGAATGTGGGTATCAAAAAAATAAGGCCCAGTTCCACGGTCCGGCCTCATGGGCTCCTGTTTCAAGTATGGTGCTTCTAACTTTGACAAATGAAGCGACTGTTTAATTAGTTAAAACGGCCAAAAGAAATATCCCCAAGCGCACATGATGACTCAGTGTATTCAAATGTGGAGCCGAATCTTTTGCTATCATACCATTGTTTAGTTGCCTAAATGACAAATAGATTGAAAAATGAGCCTGCTTTCCCTTTTTTCTTATTTCTACGTGTCAGTCAATGTTATAGGCATTATTTATTTACGATTGATTTGTTCTCAAATTATATTTCTTCCCAGGCCGACCAATGTACAGGTCTCCAAGGATTTCTCATATTCCATTCTTTTGGTGGTGGTACTGGTTCTGGATTCTCCTCACTTCTTATGGAACGTCTTTCCGTTGACTACGGCAAGAAGTCCAAGCTAGAGTTCGCTATCTACCCTGCTCCTCAGATCTCTACCGCTGTGGTAGAGCCATACAACTCTATTCT